ACAGGACTCATTGAAACCAGGAATCATTCTACTCTGTCCTGCATAGAAGCCCATCTTAAGATCGAGAGACTAAACAGAACAGTGGTTATAGGGTGCAGGCTCCTGAGACAACTCACTTAGGCTGAAGTCTCAGCTCTGTCGCTTACTAGCTGTAAAGTAACTGGAATCACTTAACTGCTCTCTGCCTCGGTTTCCTTGTCTGTAAAATGGAGGTACTAATAGCAACTACCTCATAAGGTTGTTGTGAGGATTAAAGGGGTTCTTTCCTGTAAAGCACTTAGAACAGTGTTTGGTACATAAAAAGTTCTCAAGAGTTAGTGAATACTAAAATGGCATTCCTTAAAATGAGATTCCCCACACACACACCCCAGTTTTTTGAACACCTTCTGACTTCTTCATGTACCACTGTTGGATTTGTGGGGTAGTTATAGGTATGGGATTTTCTTCTTCTTTTTCTCCCCAGGGGGAGATATATCACTTTCCTCAAACCTTTTTTTTTTCCCAAAATGTTCAGAGAGAGAGAACATAATAAAATGTCCAACAAGCCTATTTGAATGAAGACGAGGTATAATTTGCATGATAAAGATATATTTCCATTTATAAAGTTCATCAGCAGAATTAATGACAAATAAAGAGAAGATCCAATTAAAGTTCCCCATCCATTAACAGTCTTGCTTCACTCTCAGGGCAGAAATTTTAAAAGGGGAGGCTTAAGTTGGAAATGATTTAAATAACCAGGTTGGTGGCATTAAAAAGGAAGTGAAAGGATCATATTAGAATTCAAGGAAAAGAGATTCTCCAGCGACTTTTGTCATCAGAGTGAGATGCATTCCCCCCCACCCCCGATCCTAGTCCACCGGCTTTTTCTTGTTCACCCAAATGAGCTGTCAAGAACTGATGGGCGTCATCATAATCAAAGAAAACAAGTTCGCCCTTTAAAGCAAAAGAGGTAATTTGGCTGAAAGCAAATTAGAAACAATTCATGTAATGTTGCATTTCCAGCTGCAATTTCTGATGAGTTTAGGCATTTTGATTTATGCCTGAGAGCTTTGGGGGACAATGGGGAGAAGTGCGTTCATTAAACACTTTGTTCACCTCAATCCTGTGGCCACGGGGCAGAGATCCTTCATGCTCAGAGAGGCAGAGGAAGCTCCGTGGCTGTCCCTTAAACGTTGTCAGGAAAAGCCTTAAAGAAACTCACAAGATCAATTGGGGTGTGGATCAGAGAATGTCCTTCTATGGCCACAGTCCTGAGTTCCCAAAGAGGCTTCTGAGATTTGATGCATTTTGGCCAAGGAACCAAACATCCTTAGCACTTGGTCTAGACTGCCCGTCTTCTGCATTGATAGTCACTTCTTTGGTTCCTCTCTTAGGCTCCTAGTGCTGCTGTAACAGAAATACCACAAGTGTGTGGCTTTAAAGAAGAAAAATGTATTTTCTCACCGCCTAGGAGGCTAGGAGCCCAAATTCAGGGTGTCCGCTCTAGGGGAAGGCTCTCTCTCTCTGTTGGCTCTCAGGGAAGATTCTTGTCTCTTTTGGCTTCTGTAGCCAACAGGCAGCAATGTCTGTCTTGTGTGTCAGGAAGGTAGAAGGTTTTCCGGAAGCCCCCATTGGCTTTACTTCATTACCTTGAACTGTGCCCATAGCCACCCCTGACTGAAAGGGAGGCTGAGAAGGTGAACATTAAGTATCTCCACCTCTACGGCATAGGCAAGTGTGATCGTTTTCTAGGGCTGCCAAGTAACAAGATAGCACAAACTAGGTGGCTTATAAGCACAGAAATTTATTGTCTCAGTTCTAGAGGCTAGAAGTCTGAAGTCACGGTGTCAGCCATGTTGGCTCCTTCTGAAGACTCTGAGGGAGAATCTGTTCCATGTCTTTCTCCTAACTTCTAGTGACAGCTAGCATTCCTCGTCACGCCAGTGTCTGACTCTGTCTTCACCTGGCTGTCTTCTCTCTGTATCGTTTCTGTGTCTCTTCTCCTCTTTTATAAGGATACCACTCATACTGGATCGGACCCACCATACTCCAGTTTAACCTCATGTTAACTGATAACATCTGCAAAGACCCTGTTTCCAAACAAGGCCCATTCACAGGTACTAGGCTTAGGACTTCAATGTATCTTTTGGGGAGATACAATTCAATCCATAACAGCAGGCAAGAAGGAAGGGGATTGGAATGAGGGTGGTACCTGCCATCGAGGGGCCTGGCATGAGAACCTATAGTGAGAATTTGACCCAGTCAGAAAGCCCAGCGAAGGCTTCCTTGAGGAAGTGACATTTGAACTGAGATCTGAGTGTAATGAATGAACTTGGTGAGGAGGAGAGAGAAGATTGTTTCAGGAAGAAGAAACAGCATGTGCAAAGGCCCTGAGGTGGAAGATATATGATATCCCAACCTATCTACTGGTCACCAGCCTTTTTCCCTATACATCAGCCATTGCAGCAGATCTTTCTCCAAATATGATTTTATCCTGTTACATTCTTGCTCAAAATGAATCTCAGTATTCTACAAGAATGGAGCCCTGGTGGTGCAGTGCTTAAAAGCTCGGCTGCTAACCAAAATGTCAGCAGTTCGAATCTACCAGCTACTCCTTGGAAACCCTGTGGGACAGTTCTACTCTGTCCTATAGGGTTGCTATGAGTTAGAGTTGACTTGAAAGCAATGAGTCTTGGTTTTTGGTCCTACAAGATAAACCCCCAAGTCCGCACTCTGATGTTGAAGGCTGGTGATAATCTGGGCCTACTTCATGAATACAACCTTAACCCATTTCTCCTGTAGCTGCTGGACCTTCATGTCGGCATGTTTCATATCCCAAACTAGGTTTATAACTGAGTTTATAACTAACAGAGTTTATAACTCTGGGAGGAAAGGAACCATATCTTGCATCTATTTTGTATTCCCAGGGGTTCAATAGATACCTGAATGAATGGCTACATGGATGAACTTTTTATAGCAGGGAGGAGGAATAGATATGGGCAGACCAGTGAAGAAGCTCTTTTAATCATCCAAGTGAGAGATTATGAGGCCCCTTCTCAGGGGCAGAGAGGCTGCTGAGAAGGAAATGGATTAGGAGCTGCTATGGATTAAATAGGGAGCCCTGGTAGTGCAGTGGTTTAAGTGCTTGGCTACTAACCAAAAGGTCAGTGGTCCGAACCCACCAGCTGCTCTGCGGGAGAAAGCTGTGGCTATCTGCTTCCATAAAGATTTACAGCCCTGGAAACCTTATAGGGCAGTTCTACTCTGTCCTATAGGGTTGCTATGAGTTGGAATCAACTCAACAGCGTGGGTTTGGGGATATAATAAACCCAAAAACCAAACCTGTTGCCGTCGAGTCAATTCTGACTCATAGTAGGACAGAGTAGAACTGTCCCATAGGGTTTTCAAGGAGCGGCTGATGAATTCGAACTGCCGACCTTTTGGTTAGCAGTCGTAGCACTTAATCACTATGCTACCAGGGTTTCCAGGGTGTATGGTAGTAGTTTTTATTTATTGAGCCCTCAGTGTTCAGGCCCTGTTCTAGAAGCTTCCCATCGATCCTGATGATTCCTGTTTTATGACTGAGGAAACCCAGACTCAGGGTGATTAAATAACCAGATCAGGGTCTCTCAGGAAGGATTTGGACTCAAGGGGGGCTGCCTGTAAAGCTGGTCCTCTTCACCATTGTGCCATGTGGGCAACATAAATTGTTGGTTCTGATTGGTGCCATAGATTTTTCTGAAAAAAATTTTTTTTTAAATAAGCTTTTTATTTTGTAGCAATTGTAGATTTACAGAACAATTGTAAAAATAGCACAGAGTGTTCCAGTATGCCCTTCATGCAGCTCCCCCTAATATGAACACCTAACACTACTGTGATTAAGAAAATAACATTGATACGGTATTCTTAACTAAACTACAGACTTTACTCGGATTTCACCAGTTTTCCCACTAATGTTCTTTTTCTGTTCCTGGATCCAATCTAGGATCCCATGTTGCATTTAGTGAAAGTTTTTTTTATTATTATTTTGTTTTGAAGTCACTGTTTATCTGCACACCCCCCACATTTGTTTTTAAATCAGTACTTAAAAACCAGTGACAATGTGCTGAGCTGGCCCTAGTCCTGTTTGCCCTTAGATCTATCTCTCACTCCTCCCCTGCTCTGCTGTGTCTCAGGTTGCTGATCCTTGCAGGCTGTTGTTTCCCAGGCCTCCTGGTCAGTTGGCTTCCCATTGGGTTTGGCCAATGGGAGGCACTGGTTTTGGCTTGGAGGGCGGGAGAAAGGGAGAAACCGGGGTCTCTCTCCCCTGTCTGCTTTGAGCTGTGTTCCCGGCAGTGACTGCATCTCCTCTGCAGTTCCAGCTCCTCCTGGACAGGAAACGGCTGTGGTTCCAGTGTCCCCTGGGTGACCCTGTTTCACCAGCTCACCACCTCCTCCTTCTGTGGCTGGCTTGGCCTCTCAACTCCTCCATCACCTGTGTAACCAGTTCCTTGTGGTTAAATAGAGTTTAAATGCTGTATTTAAATCCTGAGAGCAGCAGCTGCTTTCCTGGTTGGTCCCTGAGACTTAGTCCTCAACACTTAGTCCTCCTGCCCTTGAGGCACTAACTCAGTCACAAAGCGGAAAAACCGCTTCTAGCTCAAGGTTCTGTGCAAAAGCTCCAGAGCTCCTAAGATGCATTCTCGTGACAACAATTTATGGCCGCTGTGGCCATACTGGCACAGTGGTTAAGTGTTTGGCTGCTAACCAAAAGGTTGGCAGTTTGAACCCACCAGCCACTCCTTGGAAACCCTGTGGGGCAGTTCTACTCTGTCCTATAGGGTCACTATGAGTGGGAATCAATGGCAACAGATCAGTCGATCGGTGGCCATACTAGCCATACAGATGCCTCAGGACTCTACTAACAGCTCACTCTGTCCTTTCTTCAGGGTTGCCAGAGAGAATAAAAGCGGGAGACCCACACAGGTTACCGAAGTCTCAATCTCCCAGGGCATTCCAAGGCAAAGAAGGCTGCTCACAGAATGGCTTTGGACATTGTCTCCGTGGCCCCCCTCTACCAAGGCCCTGACATCAACAGAATAAGGCTGATGACAACAGAGGCATCCAAAACGCCAGCCTCCCCACTCAAATCCTTGGTCCCATCTAAGACCAAACTCACCACCATCGAGACCAAGAGGATCATGTCCGTCCTGGATGAGGCCATCTGCAAGGTGGAGTTGGTGACCCTGCTGTCAGACGTGGTAGCCAATCAAGCAGCTCTGGAGGGGACGCTGGGGGAGGACATCATGAGGGCAGTGAGCGACCATGGAGACCTCTGCAAGAGCCTCCTGGACAGTGTCAACGACCTGAATGACCAGGAAAGGCAGGTGCAGGAGTTGGAAGACATGGAGGATGAGAGGGGGCTCAGAGACCTGCTCCTCCTCATGGAGGAGCAGAAACACAGCCTCCCACCACTGATGCGGCAGATCAAAGACTCCACCAAGAACATCCTGCGGCTCTTGCTCAATAACCCCCAGGCTGCCAGGCTCCTGCAGATGCAGACGCTGGGCCGAAGTGCAGAAGCCCAAAGTTTTATCGACAGCCTGGTAGAACTCCGTGGTTTCCTGTTTGAGAAGCTACTCACTAGCCCCATGGAGGTCAGGGACCAGACCCTGTTCATACAGGATATCAGTAGGCGGAACAGGAGGAACCAAGAAAGCGTGGAAGCTCTTGAAAATGAATTGGCAAAAAGCCTTAAGAACAGGGATGCCGAGGTATCGCCTCACAGTATCTACTGGGTTATGGGAAGAGCCACAGTGAGTAGCAGAAATCTTTTGGTGGTTAGGTTTTTCCTCAACAATTTAAATGTTGTTGTTGTTAAGTCGAGTCAATTTTTTCGACAGAGTAGAACTGCCCCATAGAGTTTTCTATGTTGTAATCTTTACAGAAACAAATTGCTAGGTCTCTGTCTCCTGCTGGGTGGGTTCGAGCCACCAACCTTTCAGTTATCAGCTGAATGCTGAACCATTGTGTCACCTGGATTCATAGTGATTTAAATAGCTTTTTCATCCATTTCCTTCACAGATATTGTTTTGAGCACTTACTAGGTGCCAAAAAACCCATTGCCATCGAGTTAATTCCAGCTCATAGCGACCCTATAGGACAGAGTAGAACTGCCCCATAGGGTTTCCAAGGAACAGTGGATTTGAACTGCCGACCTTTTGGTTAGCAGCTGAGCTCTTAACCACTGTACCACCAGGGCTCCCACTAGGTGCCTGGCCTTGTAAATAAGCCCCACGTTGTCCCAGCCTCATGGAGTTCACAGTCGAATAGGGAAGGTAGGTATTAAAGAACTGATTTTGTTACAGTTGTGAGAAATACAATGAAGGGTAAGTGCAGGGTGCTATAAGGGAGTGTCACAGGAGAACAGAACTTAGACCGAAAGGACCAGGGACAATGAAGCCAAGATGTGAAGCAAAAGAGGGAATGGACCAGCCTGGGTATAGATGGAGATACTAACGTTTTCTGATAAGCATTTCTGGAGCTTGTTTACAAAACAGCTCCATCCCCACCCCCCATTCCTGTTGTAGAACAGAGGGAGGACAAGGGACAAGCCAGGGGCTGACCTCAAGGGAGAGCCTGGTCTGCAGGGTGTGTTCCTCTTCTGCCTCAGTGTCTCTCTCTGCCAGCTGGGCACCCCTGCTGGGCTCCAGGTGGCAGAAGGCTTCTGTGCTGATCCAGACCTGTCCAATGGCCTCGTTCGGCCTGCCTGTGCCCCTCACTCATGTCAGGAAACAGAGGTGGTGGGCAAGACCGTGGGCGCTGCCCAGACAGACCTGCCTGGCTTCAAACCCTGGCTCAGCTACGCAACCCCAGCCAGACGACGCGCCATCCTTGAGCCTCAGTTTCCTCATCTGTAAGGCAGGCTGTCCCTGTCTGCCATGGAGGGTTTGCAGGGAGGGTTGCATGAGGTAATGACGCAAGTGGTGTGCTGGGCCCTGAGTGAGCGCGCACTAATAGCCGAGCTCCTGGGACCATCATCATCCTGTAGGGATTAACGGAGCCCCTGCTCTTTCTGGCCCAGGTGGAGAAGGAGAACTTTGTGATCCAAGAGCTGAAGAACCACCTGCACCAGGTGCTCAAGTTCTCGGAGAACAGCCTCCTTCGCACCAAGCAGGAGGCCGAGAAGCAGCAGAAGGCAGACTTCAGGGCCTCACAGGCCAGGATGGCCAAGATCCAGCAGGAGATCCTGATGCTGCGCATGCAGTACCACAACCTGGTCACGGAGAACCGGGAGCAGGAGCAGGCCCTGAGGAAGGTGCCCCGGATGGAGGGGAGAGCGGGACAAGGGGCCATGGGGACGGGAGGGGCAGGACTGTTCCATCACTCCCGGAGGTCCAGCAGTGTCGGGCTGTGCCAGCTGCTTGGGAAGCACCGGAAGGCCAGCAAGGAGGGTGCAGCAGACAGGCCTGGGGACTGGGGACAGGGAAACCTGGGTCCTTGTCCCAGCATTGCTGCATACCAACTAGAATGCTGCAAGCCAGTTAGAACACCTGTCTTGCACACGACTGTATCCCCAGCACCCAAACAGTGGCTCGAAGAAATAATTGTGGCATGAATGAATACCTGTGGAAAACTGAGGCTGAAGCAGACTTTCTAGAAGGCTTAATCTGATTGAGCTCAGGATCTCTGAAAGTCTCTGACACTTATTGAGCACTTATTATGTTCCAGAAACCATGCTAAGTTTTGTGAGTCTCATTCCGTCCTTTTAACAGTCCTCAGGGTGACTACCTTTATCTTACTCTTCATCTTACAGATGGCAGAACAGGCTCAGAGAGGTGAGGGAACTTGCTGGTAAAGGGTGGAGCAGGGATTCAAACGTAGGTCTCTCTGGCTCCAAAGCCAGAATGATCCCTTTGAGAAGGTCAAGGCCCAGGGGCATACTGCAGGGGTGTGCTCTGAAGGTGAGCATCTCAGATGGAAAACAGGAAGCCTGGGAGAATGAACTTCTTCAACACATTGTGAGCACCTACTGTGTGCACAGAACGCTGGTTTATAATGTCTGGTTCTGCCAGTGCTGTCCTTTTTCTTCTTTGGAAAATAGAGGTGACTATTCCTGACTCCCTCATTCTTCGCAGAATACCATGAAAATAAATTTCACTTCAAGGACTGGAGCTCCTAGGGAGGCACTCGAAACTCAAGACGTTATTGTCTGGGCAGGAGCACAGAGTCTCCCTGGCTTTGGGGAACTCTTGGCCTCCCAGGTCTTGAACAGCTGGGGGTAGGGGGCAGACTGAGAGCCACAAATTCAGCGGCTCCCAAAGCCTGGGGCTTAGAGCTAAATCCAGCCCCGTGGCCCTCACTGCCCAGCCGGGTGACCTTGGGCAAGCAGCTTCTCCTCTTCAAGCCTCAGTTCTCCCATCTGTAACTTGGGGATAATCACAGGGCCTATCTCTTAGATGGTCGTGGTGAGCCATGGGGGCAATAACAAAAACAGCTGTTGTTTGCTGAGCATTGTTCTGTGCCAGGCACCAGAGCCCTTGATGCTCTTGGGCATGGAGGCCTGAGAGAATGTTCTGTAGTCAGACTGCTGGCTTCAAATCCATGACTTACACGCCTGAACCTCAGTTTCCTCATCTGTGTGACACAGACAATAGAACTGACCTTTTTGTGAGGATTCAATACAGCGAGACATGTAGCGCTCCCACCGTGGGGCCCCGTGCAAAAGTTCCCAGAGCTGCCTGTTGTTAACATTGCTGCGTCCAACAATGACTATGTGATGTCTTTCTTTTTAGAAGAAATATAAAGTGGAGACGGAAATAGAGAACTGGATCCAGAAGTACGATACGGAGATGAGTGAAAAGCAGGTATTTGGCACTGAATTTGGCTCTTTCAAGACCCTCTAGGCACGAGAGGGGAAATCCCAGGATGGGCCGTGGTTTGTGCCAGGTTCTGAGCCCCCAAGAGGCCCTGCCCTGGAATGGGGCCTGCAGCAGGCTCCTTCCCCGCCCCCACCCCCCCCCTTTGCTCATGGGTTTGTCCAACCTAGGGCAGAGGGGCCAGGTGGGCAAGGAAGAAGCCAGAAGCCCTGAGCCACTAGGAAGAGAAGCGCCTAGGCTCAGCTTAATGATCTTGGCTCCATCTAGTGCCCATACCCCATACTCCTCTGCTTCTCAGCTCGGCCAGCCCCCCACAGCCGGGCACACCCCAGCTGACTCAGGCGTGAGGTCCTCTACCATGGCACTCAGCCATACAGCAGGTTCTCACTGAGCCCCTGAGATGTGGCAGGTGCTAGGGCTGTAGCAGTGAAGACAGGAAGGTGTCACTTAGCTATGTGACCTTAAGGGACTCGACCTTCCTGAGCCCACTCCTGCATCTGATCAACAGAGGCAATGACACCCCTCTCGGCGCCATGGTGGGGATTAAATGACACACTGTTGTCACAGGTGCTTGTACCCAGCACAGGGTCTGGCCTGGAGGAAGTGCTCAGAGAGAGGCAGCCTATGAACCTGGGTACTCCTGAGTCCCCAGGGACAAGAAGGCCCAGGAGCACTGGAAACAGCATCAGCTTCTGAGTGCCCGAAGCCAGGAGTGCTATTCAGAGAGGGCGAGCTAGGGCCTTGCTGTGCCTGACTGTGCGGGCCGAGGGAGGGGAGACTTTGGAGACGGGTGCTGGAGGGACCCTGTCTACTCAGCTCTATGTTCTCTGGAAGGGTTTCACTTATGGTAGGTGCTCAGTAATCCTTAGCTGAAGGAAGGAAGGAGAGAAGGAGGGGAAGGAAAGAAGGAGGGGAGGGAGGAAAGGAGGAAGGAAGGAAGGACAGGAGATAGATGTAAATTACAGCAGGAAGAGGCTGCAGTTAGACCTAAGGAAGAACTCTGGGACTCGGTCACCTGAGGAGATTCTAGAAATCCCCCTCTGGGTGTCTTTGTGGCAGCAGCCTCCCTCTCTTGTATCCCCACTGTGTGTCCAGCATCATGTCTAGTACATGGCATCCATCATGTCCTTTAACCCTCAAAACAGCACCCAGATTGGGAAGCCCCTCAAATCGTGGCGGAGTTGGATTTGAAACTCAGTTGCCCAACTCACAAGCCCATGATTTTCTTTCCCATTCCTGAAAGTGTTTCTGTTGGGTCTTGGCTGGAGCTCGGGTGAACCCCATCACCTCTTAGTCTAGGTGGGTTGGGAAGGGTGAGGTGCGTTTGCAGGAGCGGGGGAGGCCAGCTCCCAGCCTGGTGACCTTGACCCCCCAGATGGAGTATGAGGAGCTGGAGGTCGTCCACAAGGAGGAGAAGGTGCAGCTGGACGAGCTGAGGCAGAAGCACGACGTGCTGGTGGAGGAGTTCTCCCAGATCCGCACGGAGCGGGAGGTCAACTCCAGGAAGAGGATGGAGGCTGAGGAGCAGCTGGTGCGCATGGTGCGGGCCGCCACGCTCATCCAGGCCATGTGGAAGGGCTACCTGGTCCGTTCCATGCTCAGGTCCAAGAAGAAGAAGCGGGCCAAGGGCAAAGCAAAGGATAAGGGCAAGGAGAAGCCCAAGGGCAAGGAGAAGCCCAAGGGCAAGGAGAAGGCCAAAGGCAAGAGATGAGCCCTCCCATCTGGGAGCCCACGCACCTCCCTCCCAGAGATCAACCAGGAAGTCCCTGGAATGGAGAGGCCTGTGCTTTATGGCTTTATATGATTATTTAAATTAAAAAGCATTTCAAACCACATTTTAAACCACAAATAAACCTCTTTACCAGAGCTGTGTGTGCATTTGTGGCCGCCAGATTTCCGTGAGGAGCGCGAAGCCGGGGTGGCCACTAGTCACTGTAGCCTCCGTGGGAAAGCAGACCTGCCCAGTACCAGACGCCATCATGGCTGCCGTGGCCATGTCATCAGCCCGGATGAGCGGCTAGGGGGCCGGGAGCGGGGGTATTATAGCTGTTGCAGGGGAGTACTCCAGGAGCAGGGCCTCGGGGTTTCACACTGCCCACACAGGGCCTGCTCTGGGATTATGAGCTTGCCGGAAACTTCTTCCCCCTCCAGGACAGGGAAAGCACAGCAGGAGTCCAGGGATCACAGCCTGCAGCCTGATCCTGCCTTTATTTGGGGCCCAGGTTGTTGAAATGTTTTTAAATTAGTTGCTGGCATTTAAAGAATCAGGGTCATCACACAGAGATCCGTTTTTCTGCCCTCTCTGGATAAATCTCATCACCTGGGCACCCCGGGCCTACATTCCCACAGGCAACCATTGTCTGTCTTCTAGAACTGAGCGACAGCCTCTCTGCAGCTGCCCCAGTCCCCACCACTCCTGACAGCCTCCCAGACATGAAAGCCTTGAGCCAGTTGTCCCTTATCTGGGCTGTTGTCTCCTTTAGTACAGGTGGGAGAAAGAGGAGTATTTCTAGCCTGCATCTATTAAAAACTACGGAGAGGGGAAAAAGACAAATGAGAGTTGGATGTTTCAAGGAAAACTGGAAGAGTGGGGCCCAATTCTCAGTGGAGGTTCTAGAACGTCTAAACGTTGTACATGTTTAAAATGCAAAGTATGTCTGTGCCCAAAGAATGCAGTTGGCCCACTCCCCTGGTGGCCCATCTGACCCCTGTAGGCATTTGCACGTGACCCTGCCCAACAGCGTCCACTGCCCTTTCCCCTCCCCAAGGCAGAGGTACAAAACCAATGATGCAGCCTCCATTAGGCTCCTTGGTGCTTCCTTGCGGGGAGATAGGGGCAAGGAGAGGCTGCAAACCCAGCCCCCACCCCCAGATCAACCAGGGCAAAACATTGGGGGTTGGGGGCAACTCCGTTTGAGCAAAGGCTTTTGTTATCTTTCCTAAGTGATCCCCTCCAGGGCTAAGCAGCTACAAGCAGCAGAGCCAGCGGGTATAGGCAGCGCCCTGGCATGGGGGTTAGGGGGTGGTCTCCCTCCTGAGATCCCCAGATGCACAGGTAACATTCTGTACACCTCCTCCTGGCTTAGGCAGTTTTCTGAAAAGGCGGGAAATGCATGCACATATATATGATTTCAAAACAAAGAACTAAAGTCCCTATTCCGTGCTCAGGAGGGACCAGATGACCTACCAGTCATTGGCATTAGCTGGAAAACAAGGACAGGAGGGATCCAGTGTTGCTGTGCCCCCCAACTCAAGTCACCCACCAGCCACCATGGTGATTTCTGCCCCATCCTCGCACTCCCTATTGAATTACTTAACTTCGTTATTTAAATCAACTCAGGTTGAACACTGGTCTTATCTTAAGAAGAGAACATCAGTAAGCATCATGATTCTGATATATTTAATACACACGAAAATACAGGAGTACTTGTTCCCCCGAGTACTACCCCAGAACCTCTTGCGTCCCCGTGTCCACTATGCCTGGGAGTCTCTGGGGTCTCCAGACTCGGCTGGAAATGACTCCTGAACTGGAAGCTCGGCTTGAAGTGGGGAAAGGAACTTTTGGTCCTGGCTGGCTATCATACCATTTAATCACAGTCGGCGGCAAGACGATGTTGTGGGCTTGGTGGGGGAGCGAGAGAGCCCCTCCCCTGGGGGCACCTTGGTTGGCACTGATACGGAGTGTGGCTAAGACAGGAGAGGCATCTCAAGGATGGCCTCCCAATCCACATCAAGAAGCAACAACAAACTGTCAGAATGAAGGGAGGCACTGCCCACCCGCTTTCTCCCCACCACCCCCTGGGTGCTTCTCCCATGCCTGGGAGACTCCAGTCTGGGGCCAGGGGCTAGCAGGCCCCTGTGGCAGGAGAAGCCGCGCCCTTCGCCATGACCCCACGGGCAAACTCAATGCCAGGACCAGGAACCTCATTTCCAAGGGGGCTTTGGTTTCTGCGGGGCCCCACCTCGTCGGGGGGTGGCTGGCACTGACACACTGATGGAGTGAGCCCTGGGGGTCAGCAGGGGGCTCCGGAAGGTCACCCCTGACAGGGGAGACTTGGGGTCCCGAGGCCCATTGGCATGGGCTGCACTGGTGGGCGGGCAAGCGGTGCTGGGGACACTAAGGTTGGTAAGGGACTGAGATCGTCCCCGCCATGGAGGGTCTGGAGCATCTAACCCATCTGAGGGCAGCTTCTGGGAGTCTGCCGCCACCCTGGGCTCTGTCTTGGAGGCATCGGCTGGGTGGACGGCTCGAAGCGGGGTCTCCCTGGGTCGGGGTGAGTGGCTGCCCCTGGGAGTAGCGGGGGGCGTCCAGAAGAGGGCACGGAGTTTCGCAGCATCGCCCTTCGCCATCCATGAGGCCTCCAAGCCAGTGCCCCCAGGCCGGGGGCCGAAGAGCGACTCGTCACAGTAAGATGGAGTGTGGCTGATCAATCTGGCAGAGGAAAGAGAAACAGTGAGCTGGGAGAGAAATGACCCCTAACACCTTAACACTCCCTCCTGCACCCACAACAGCAGAGGGGGTTGCCTGCAGATCCCAAGTCCCTGTCGCCCAGCCTGGCACCACAGCAAGGCCACAGCCCCTCAGGGACCCTGCTCCCCTGCATCCTGCTCCAATTCCCCAGCATGAGCCCCAGGCCTGGCCAATCAGGTTCCACAGCAGGGCTGTCACAGGAATGCAGATGACTATAGTGAGTACAGAGTGCAGCTCCCCACCCCGCTACCTGTATTTGTTCTTCTTCCTTGGTGTGAGGGTCGGGGTGCTGCCCCTGGGTGGGGTGCTCTCACAGCTCCCTTTGGCCCCTGAGGCCTGCGACGCTGCTGCGTTCATCCCCCTGGTTCTGTTGGCCTTCTCCACCCAAGGCGGGTCGAAGTCTGGTGGGGGGGGCCGGGTACCCGCAGGGCTGCCAAACAGAGTCTCATCCACATATGATGCCCTGGCCTTGAGCCGGTAGCCGCCCCGGCAGCGGCGCTGAAGGTGGAGGGTCTGCATCCTGCTGATGGCCAGCTCCACGGAGGTCCTCATGGCTTACACTGGGCATGCTCTTCCCACCAGGCCCTGCCTGCAGGGCTGCCTGTGAAAGACGATGGTACCAAGTCAACAGCAGTGCTGGTGAGGGAGACTGGTAGCTCCCAATCCCTCTGACTCCTCTGGCTGAGTCCCACAAGCAAAAGGGTATAATTCTCCCTCAACCAGTCCTCCTCAAGTGGGAGCTGTCAACCCCAGCAGCATTTTGGCAATCTGCTGGATGTCATAATGGTGGGGGGTGGACCACTACTGGCAAGTATTTAATGACTGAATAAACAAATGAATAGGATGGTTTGCCTGGATTCTGTGGGTGCTCAATAAATATTTATGCAATGACTAGGAAGATAAAAGAGAGATGGGGTTTGTGTCCATTTGAAACAAACTATGGCAGGAGAAGGAAACAGGCAGTCCCTACTGACATATCCTGTGTATGTTTAAAAAGGTGGGGCTAACGACAGCCAGTATTGACTGACTGACTGACCACTTACCTCCTTCCAAGTGGTTGATAAGCATCCTCTCATTTAATCCTCTCAACAGCCCTGTGAAGCAGCTTTAATTATGTCCATTTCACAGATGATAAAACGGAGGCCTCAAAAAGTGAAGTCACATGTGCAGGCCACACCTAGAAAGTGGTGGAAAGATTTCAATCTTTTATGAATTGAGAGAGGTCCCTCGGTGGTGCAAATGGTTTGCGCTTGACTACTAACGGGAAGGTTGGCTGTTCGAACCTACCCAGGATTCAAAAGAAAGGCCTGGAGATCTGCTTCCATAAAAATTACAACCAAGAAGACCCTGTAAAGCACTTTTACTCTAACAGTTTTACTCTGTAATTGTCATGAGACTGAATCCAACGAACCCGTTTGGGTTTTTTTTTTTGGTATGAATCGAGAGCCTCCGCACTTAACCACTCTACTATTGTGGGATCGCTCCCCAATTCTCCGCTGCTCCCTGGTTAATGCCCCAGCTCTCCACATTCCTGAGTTAGTCTCTTACCTGGGCATCTCGGCTGGCAGCGAGCCCCCAGCCCCCGTCTCGCGCGACCCCTCCCCACCAGGTCGCGAGGCAAGAGCACCCAGTGCGCACTATGCATCTGGGATCGCAGTTCGTTCGCTTCCGGGAATCCCGGAGCCCAGACCGCCCCCGCCCTCAGCGCGGAAGCACTCACCCACAGGCCCTAGCGACGTGCGCTCAGCGCGCGCATCCAACAACAACCACGGCGCAGTGGTGACGACACAGCCGGAACCATTTCTGCCCGGGGGGCGCCCCGTTCCTGACGTCCCCGGGACCTCCTAAAGCCAGGTGAGGGTCCTGTGGCCAGTCGGGAGCTTATGTACCAGCCTTCCCGGGGCTGCAGGTAGGGGCCGGGGTGCAGCTGGACGCACAGACCGAGCCCCCCTCCCTAGCCGAGCAGTTGGTGCGGCCCGCAGGCTCCGCCCCCTCTGTCTCCGCTCGCGAGGTACGCATGGCGGCCGGCACGCGCCCCGCGGCCGGATCCCGGTCCCGAGCGGCCATGGCCCAGTGGAGGAAGAAGAAGGGGCTCCGCAAGCGCCGTGGCGCGGCCTCCCAGGCTCGCGGCAGCGACTCGGAGGACGGGGAGTTTGAGATCCAGGCGGAAGATGACGCCCGGGCCCGGAAGGTGGGAGAGTGGGGCTGGGAAACGCGTCGGGGCACGTCTGCGATCTGGACGCTCGGGGCATCGCCGCCACGGCCTCAGTTTCCCCCGCTGGAAAGTGGGCACGGCTGAGGGTGGGGGTAGAGTCCGCTTGCCCGACGCCAGGTCGCAGGCCCGTCGGCCTGAGCACGTGTCTCGGGGCCTGTCAACTCCAGTCTGGAGGGTCCAGACGGCTGGAGACTCCCGGTACCGGGGGCCGGTGCGGTGTCTACCGGTATGCTGGCGGACTTCTGATAGCGCGCTCCTCATTGGCTACCTCCTGCCAAGGAGGCGAGTCCTAGCTTCCATTCGTCCAATGAAAAGTGCGGGTGAGGATCTGACTTTGTGAAATTGGGGGATTCTTGGGAGGTTGCTTTAGCGGGAGAGCTGAGAGAGTGCCGCCCCCAAAGCTCCGGAGAAACTAATGATAAATTAAACTTGGCACTTCTTGAGCGCTTACTACGTGCCGGGCCCCAGTGCTGAAAGATTTTTACATGCCGTATCATTCAGTCCTCACATCAACCCTGTGATCTAAGTACTGACACTCCCATTTTCCTGACGAGGAGACTGAGGCCTAGAGGGATTAAAGAACTTGACCAAGACCTCACAGCTTGTGAGTGTCATGTTGTTGTTTGCTATCCGCTCGATTCCGACTCATGCAGAGAGGGGGACTACACTCCTTCAGAGCAGGGGCCAGATGAGGCCTTGTTCCACCGTTTCCCACCGCAGCCTCATCAGGTGCCTGGCACACAGTAGGTGCTCTATAAATGTTTGTGGAGAAACTGCTAAAGGCACCGAACAGCACAGAGGGCAGAGATAGTAGTAAGCGCTAAAGAAGAGGAACCCACATAGTCGTTCAGACCCAGGGCTTTGTCGTGGCACAGCCCTCGTTCTATCTGCCCCAACCCTGTACTGGTTGTGGGACGTAGGTTGTTGTTGTTAGGTGCCGTTGAGTTGATTCCGATTCATAGTGACCCCATGTGACAAAGTAGAACTGCCCCATAGGGTTTCCTAGGCTGTCATCTTTACAGAAGCAGATCGTCAGGTCTTTTCTCCCTTGAAGCTGCTGGTGGGTAAGGCAGGTGTCTTAGTCATCTAGCGCTGCTATAACAGAAATACCACAAGTGGATGGCTTTAACAGAGAATTTTATTTCTTCACAGTAAAGTAGGCTGAAAGTCCAAATTCAGGGCGTCAGCTCCAGGGGAAGGCTTTCTCTCTCTGTCAGCCCTCTCATCAGTGTTCCCCCAGACTAGGAGCTTCTTCACGCAGTAATCCTGGATCCAAAGGACACGCTCTGCTCGTAGCACTGCTTTCTTGGTGGTATGAGGTCACCCTGTCTCTCTGCTCACTTCTCTCTTTTATATTTCAAGAGATTGCCTCAGGACACAATCCAATCTTGTAGATTGAGTCCTGCCTTACTAACACAACTGCCAAGCATCCTCATTAACATCATAGAGGCAGGATTTACAACACAGGAAAATCACACAATACCAGGAATCATGGCCCAGTCAAACTGATACACACATTTTTGGGGGGAGATAATTCAGTCCATGATCAGCTGAGCGCTTCACCATTGCGCCACCAGGGCTCCTTTTGTGGGACATTGGCAAAAGTGCTTAACCTCTCTGTGCCTCAGTTTCCACATCTGTAGAAGGCCGGTGATTGTATGTGCCTCAAAGACGGTCGAAAAGGTTAAATGACACATTCGTCCGTTTATGCCCTTGTTCGATGAATACTGCTAGGACACTTATGTTCTCGGCACTTTGTTTTTGTGTGCCTAGAGCAAGAAACCCAAACCAAATCCATTGCCGTCGAGTCGATTCTGACTCATAGGACCCTATAGGACAGAGTAGAACTGCCCCATAGGGTTTCCAAGGAGCGGCTGGTAGATTCAAACTACTAACCTTTTGGTTAGCAGCCAGACTCTTAACCACTGTACCACAAGGGCTCCTATCTAGAGCAGGGGTTGCAAATTTTTCCTACAAAGGGCCTGGTGGTAAATATTTCAGGCATGTGGGTCGTATGATGTCTACCTTCTTTGTTTGAATTTTTCAAATCCTTTAAAAAATGTAGAAACCATTCTCAGTCCATGGGCTGTATAAAACCGGCTGTGGCCTTGACCTAGAGAATCATAGTGGAAGGAACATAGCCCCTGAGGCCAGCATTCAAACCCCTGAACCCCACTTGGTGGCTGTATGACCTTGGGCAGGTCACTTCCCCTCTCTGGGCCTCTGTTTCCTTCTCTGTAAAATGGGCATAATAATAGTGCCCACCTCACAGCCCTCCCAGGGTTGTGGTGAGGATTAAGTGGGTTAATTTATATGACTGTTGAGAGCAGCACCTGACTTACAGTGTCCTATCAGTTTTAGCTTATTATTAATTAGTGCTCCATAAATGTTATTTCTGAGAGGAAAGGGAAAAGCCTTATAGTCTGCGAAGGCTCCGCAGAGGAGGCATCCACGTTGGATTTAGCTTAAAGGACAAGTGGGACCTGGACAGGCAAAGAGGAGGCCAGGGGAGAAAGAGGCCAGAGTTGGAGCAGGGTGATGAGTCAGAAAGGAGATTGGGGAGGCAGCCAGGATAGCTTGGAAGAGTCATACCTTATGCATAGTAGCTGTTTTGATTGACTCCTTACAGTTTTTAATTTCGAGAGCTCTGAATGACAGGCCAGGGTGACAATGATGATGATGATGATGATACCACCAGCTGTGTGCTGGGCCCTACTCTAAGCTTTCCACTTACCCATTTAATCTTCACAACAACCCTTTGAGGCAGATGCTCTTGTCATCCCCATTTTCCAGATGTGGAAACTGAGGCTCAGGGAGATTAAGTCACTTGCCTGAGGTCTCACAGCTGGTGAGTGACAGAGCTGTGATTTGAACCCAGGCAGTGTGTCTCCAGAGCCCACATTCTTCTGAACCTCTGGCTTGTCCTGGCCCTGTCACGGGAGAGACAGTCAGCAGAGAAGTCACGTGATCTGTGAGGAGAGTCGTTGGCTTGCATCGGGGAGAAACTGGCAACAGGACAGCCCCTTCTCCTGCCCCCAGTGGTCTCGTTGTGCCTAGAATGATGTTACCTCTCTGTTCTTCCCTCCCAGCTGGGCCCTGGCAGACCCCTGCCCACCTTCCCCACCTCGGAATGCACCTCGGATGTGGAGCCAGATACCCGGGAGATGGTGCGAGCGCAGAACAAGAAGAAGAAGAAATCGGGAGGCTTCCAGTCCATGGGTGGGTGAGCCAGGCATCCAGGGGCCTTATGGGAGCAGTGACAGGGGGTCATCATACCCTCTGCACTCGATTACTGATGTCTACTCTGGGCCCAGCACTGTGGTGAGTGGTCGGGAGGCCGAGGCAGCAGACATGGTCTCCAGGCATTCAGGGCCTGACACATAAGAGAACAATTAGAGCAGGACTCAGAAAAGGCAATGCTAGTGCAGGAGCGGGTAAAGACATTTGGAGACTGTCTTAGTTATCTAGTGCTGCTGTAACAGAAATACCACAAGTAGATGTTTTTGACAAAGAGAAGTTTATTTCCTTACAGTAAGGTAGGCTAAAAGTCCAAATTGAGGGTGTCAGCTCCAGGGGAAG